ATATCTATGGGCAGTGGTTTTGTTGTTGTTGTTGATTTAGGCTATAAATGGAATATAGCCTAGTTGTACCTTTATAATCAAAGCAAATGGAAATGCGTCCATAAATGCAAAATAAGCTCGACATCGGCTATTAACAACTGGTCGGGTAGGCATATCTACAGTGTTTGCAGACGAATTGACTTCCGTTTGAAATCACACAAATACAAAAGCGCATATAGCCATGTTCGGTTAAACTCCAGCAATCTCACACCTGGCTGAAGTCCATGACAGAAGGACAGCCACTTGGACAGCAAGACATGAATCATTAAACAGCTATATAACGAAATCTGAACCGTTTTTACATTTCTCGTTAATGCACTTTTTTGTAAATTGGTGGTATTTTTATCACGACATTTGTTTATTTATTTTGCTTGTCTCAAGCATGAAAATATTTTGCGCTGTCCGCGGTACTGAAGCAGGGCCATCGTTACATTTTCAAGTTGAGTCTTTAGTCACGCCATCTCCTTGGGTTGACAGCCCTGTCGTTTTCAGGTCAGGGAACGGGCCTGATTAAGAGCAAACCAGCTCTCCGTGGACTTGTCTTGCTTCACTTCTATCACTTTATGTAAGCTACTCCCCAGTGAATGAATGAATAAATAAATGAATGAATTATTTATTTAACTAGGCCTAATGAATTAACGAATGAAGGCAATGTTCTGTTGTATACAGCGCCAAAGCAAATCCACAATCGGCATAAATAAAAACTGATCAAAGTTGAGAGAATTCGAAGCGTTCGAGGATGGTCGCACTTTATTGCATTATAATTTTATAAAGTTAAGGAAAGCTCACAATTTGATGTACTTTTTGTCGTTATGGCACGTATATGCATCGCATTGTCTGTCTGTCAACTTTTAAATGCTTACTTTTTTTAAATGCTTGCCATTTAAGTGCGATGCTGCAACCTGCAGGTGAACTCGCGGAATGACACACCTGTCTTCTATGTAAAAACCGTTAGCAGAGATTTCAAGTCCATCAGGATCACTTCAGCCGCAGATAAGCGCTCATTCGTAGGCTTTAAATATACAGGCCTATTTGGAAACCACGTTAAATAAACATACAGACCAATGGAGGGGTTATCTACAGAGATGAGTTCAAGACAAAAAGAGCATATTTAAACCAAATTAATTACACATGACAATATACGAAACGAAATATACAAAATACATTACAATACATTCCTTCCGGTGTCACTCATTCCAGTGCAAACACTGATATCGAAACCAAATTACCGCACAGTAAAAATGCTTTCAAACAAGGATTTTGTTTAGGCTACATCGATTTAACTTGCACCCAAAAAAACAACAACAACAACAACAACAGCAAGCATCAAATAAATGTAATCTTACAAATCTCGTATGTTGAATTTTTCAGTGTGTAAAGCTAATGGGTTAAATAATAGGCCTAGCCTACCATTCTTCAACAGAGCAATATGAGAACTGAAGGCGTAACTGTGATACAATCATTATAAAATCAAACATCAACGGATAAAATATCAGGCATCATTTTCAACTGTCATAATCTCTAATAATTAGTCAGTTAATTATCACGGTCCTATATTTCAAAATCTTTTCAATTGTTAGCGCCCTCTTCCTCAAATAATTTAAAGTAGGCTACACTTTACCCTAAAATATTTCTGTATGTTGTGGCTGTGTCAGGTGTAAGTCTACTTTCTGATTTTTCTGATAGACTAGCTATTTCACATCAGGCATAAAATGGTCTCGGATCAAGGGTTGGCTGGAGCCTTCGATGCGTATAGTTTGACAATGAATAAGTCATAAATCTTGTTTACAGTGCCTCGATTAGGTCTGTGATGAAAATAGATCAGCGCGTGTATGTGTGCAGGGGAGCGCGGTGCTTTCTTACGCACATACACTCATAGCGATGGCCTGTGTTCAAAGTCTCGTGCAGAGCTCGGTTTCCTCTAGAGCAGCCGCGGGTATCCGGGACTCGGCGGGGGTCAGGCGCTCAGCGGGCGGGGGAAACCCGGAGAAATACTGCTTATATGGCGCGGGAACATGTTTTTATCCACATCCTCACGGTAAGCTAAAACTAGGGGGTTGTTGATTCGCTTTGTTCAAAAGAGCACTTAAAAGAGTTGGGTAATTAAAAAGGGAGGGGAAAAAAGAGAGCGCGACAGATAACATAGCCCGTGCTTTTATGAAAGAAAAAAAAGCCAGGAGCCATAATGCTCTATTTGTTGACTATAAATATAATGCTATTTATAATACCATAAATAATAATATGATAAACCGTAAACAAATAATATGAATCATTAAATAACAATATGAATTAAAAATATAAAAATGCAGAGGTAGTCTGCTGATCGCGACTTCCATGTACAAAGTCAGTCAGTAAAATAATTTTTAAAAAAGCATTTTTTTGGGCCACAACAGTAGACAGACCACCATACACTACCAGTCAAAAGTTTTTGGACAGCACACTCTTAAAAATAAAGGTGCTTCACGATGCCATAGAAGAACCTTTTTGTCTAAATGGTTCCATAAAGAACCTTTAACATCTGAAGAACCTTTCTGTTTCACAAAAGGTTCTTTGTGGTGAAATAAGGTTCTTCAGATTACAATAACTCAAGAAAGAGATGGTTCTTTAAAGAACCTTTGACTGAATGGTTCTTTGTGGAACCAAAAATGGTTCTTCTATGGCATCGCTTGAAGAACCTTTTGAAGCACCTTTATTTTTAAGAGTGCAGGATTTTTAATTAATTCTGCAAAAACAGTAATATTGTGAAATATTTTTAATATTTAAAATAACTGCTTTCTATATTAATATATTTTAAAATGTAATTTATTCCTGTGATTTCAAAGCTGAAATTACTAATTACTTTAGCATCATTACTCCAGTCACATGTTCCTTCAGAAATCATTCTAATTTGCTGCTCAAAAACATTTATTATTATTATTATTATAATGTTGAAAACAGCTAAATAGAATTGTTTTAAGTTTTTTTGATGAATAGACAGTTCAGAAGAACAGCATTTATCTGAAATAGAAATATTTTGTAACATTATAAATGTCTTTATCATCACTTTAATGCATCCTTGCTATCTAAAAAGTATTAATTTCTATCATTTAATAATTAATATATAATGATTTAAAAATACTGACTCCAAGCTTTTGAATGGTATAGTATAATGTTACAAAAGCTTTTTATTTCAGATGCTGATCTTTGGATCTTTCATCAAAGAATCCTGAAAAAAATATACTCAACTGTTTTAATACTGACAATAACAACAATAATAAATGTTTCTTGAACAGCAAATCAGCGTATTAGAATGATTTCTGCAGGATCATGTGCACTGAAAACTGGAGTAATGATGCAGAAAATGTAGCATTGTCATCAGAGGAATGAATTGAAAGGAGGTAGAGCTTTTTTGCATTGGCTCCCAAACTCTGGAATAGCCTTCCTGATAACGTTCGGGGTTCAGACACACTCTCTCTGTTTAAATCTAGATTAAAGACACATCTCTTTGGCCAAGCATTCAAATAATGCATCTCATAATCTTTTACTGCAGTTACATCTGATCAAATGCTCATAATTATTCTTTAGTTTGGGTTAAACAAATCAAATTTGCTTGGTTGGAACAGCAGCTACGCTAATTATGTCTCTATTTGTTTCTCTGTTTTTTGTAACTAGGATTTACACAAGCTTCAGTCTGGATCCAGAACACCTGAGAAGAGATGATGCCAACCCCTCAGAGGACCTCAGATGATGCCAACCCTGAAACAACATACAGAACTACCACATTTTGCTATAAGTTTGATTGCATCATATAATAATTGCTGTTAATAGTCTTCATCTTCTGTTTTATTACATCTTAAATCGATTTTCCCGTACATTTCTGCCATATGTACATTAACTGACAGTCACCACTGATAAACTACCACTAAATATTGTAGAAACTTAATTTGCTGTAAAGTTGCTTTGCAATGATTTGTATCCTGAAAAGCGCTGTACAAATAAACTTGACTTGACTTGACTTCTGAGCAGTACAGCCAAATTAGAAAAACAACTTGTCCTTAGTTGAGACAAACTCTAAAACAGACTTGTGACCCCGTGTCCCTGGCAGAAAGTGAAGACAAGAACCTGTCTGGAGTTGATTCAAATGCAGCTTTTAGAGCTGATGCCACTCGTAAGGAGAAGAGAACAAACTTTGAGGACATCTTTAAATATTCAGTGAGGAGAATCTGGAACTCACAACGCTTTTTTTAACCTTTATAAACGTTTAGGTGGAGTGTAATTTCCACACCACTACTGACACTGAAAAAAATGGCAAACATAATGACTGTAACTACTGTAAGGGAAACAGGTCAATTTAGCTCAAAGGGAATCATTTAAGATTTTATAGGGAATTTGGACAGAATCGCTGTTTCACTGATCACTGAGTCGGCCAGCGATTCATTGAACGAGCCGTATAACATCAATACTGCAATGGATATTAATATCCAAAGTACAGTGAAAACACTATTTATTAGCTCAGTAACAAGATCGGCAGTTTAAGATATTAACTTGTAAGCACAAAACACAAGATACTTCTCTTTTCAATATGAATAAGGCTTTATTGGATAAATCTAAGACAATATGAACTAATCTAACACATAAACAGACGCACTCACACATTCACACAAGTTGCAGGAAGAGAGAAAGTGAGGAAAGAATGAGTCCCCATAAACCATAAAAACAAACCTGTGTGTGTGTGTGTGGTGGTCTGTCTACTGTAAGCAATGTAATTTTCTTTTGTCTGTTTTAAAATAAATGTTCATTTTAACTTTAACATTTAAAACAAAAGCACTAACAGACGAATTATCCGCATAACAATTATGTTTTAAAAAGTAGGCCTACCTTAATCTTTAAATATGTAGTAACCTAACCAATGTAAGGAAATATGCTAGACGCGTTTACGTTTATATAAATAAATTTTGTTAAATTAGCATAAGCGTGGCGTTTATTCTTGGAACCCGTGTTCTCTCGAACCTCGTTATTGGTTATCGAATAGGCTATTTCTGTCTTTGTGGCTTTGCTTAAGCCTTTTCTTCTGTCAACGTCAACGTTTGTCAGCCAGCTGTGTTCGTACGTCAGCGCGGGACAGATGACGACTGAGAGCTCCCACGGACCACTGCGCTCGACTCCCCCGATGAGGACCAGTCCAGAGTCCAGCGCGGTGCACCCAGGACTGATGAACGCGACAGCTAGCTTGGAGGACCATGGCGCAGTGTCCAAGACTAAAAAGACTAACTCAGGACTGCGACGCCCGGAGAAACCGCCCTACTCTTACATTGCACTCATTGTGATGGCAATTCAGAGCACACCGACAAAGCGACTCACGCTGAGTGAGATTTACCAATTCTTACAAACACGCTTCCCTTTTTTCCGAGGCGCTTATCAGGGCTGGAAAAACTCTGTTCGGCACAACTTGTCCCTGAATGAGTGCTTCATTAAACTACCAAAAGGTCTTGGGCGGCCGGGGAAAGGACATTACTGGACCATAGACCCCACCAGTGAGTTTATGTTCGAGGAAGGGTCATTTCGGCGAAGACCACGAGGATTTAGGAGAAAATGTCAGGCCATGAAACCCATGTACAGAATGATGAACGGCCTAGGGTTCGGTTCCGCCATTTTACCTCAGAGCTTCGATTACCAACCTCCCACCGGCGCACTTGCGTGCCATGGCACTGGCTATAACCTGGACCTGTCTGGTAATGGTTATGAGTCAATAAACAGCGGGCACCATGGTCACATGTCCCCCAGCTCAAGACATGGTTATATGGCTAGCTGTCCAGTGCCTGGGAACGGAGACTATGGCGTGGAGAGCAACACCAGCCCAGTCCCGTCTTCTCCTGCAATAGCGGGCGCGCTTGAGGGTCACTCGCCGTATTCAGAGGGAACAGCACTATGGGCTTCTTCTTCAAATTCTCCATACCTAAAACAGCCTACTACAGTCTCAACCAATTCGCCGTCCACGGGACAGCATCCCGGCATATTCACCTACTCCCTGGAACAGGGTTACATACAGCAAAGTGCGAGAGACAACACAGACATGTCAGGTAAAAGCAAATAACGTAGCCTACATATAATCTCTGAAACATTTAGATGACATTCTATTTACTCTGAAATACACGTGTTTTAGCTATTACGTTGTCAAATATAGGCCTATCTATATGCTACATTATTTTATAACAAAACTCTAATCTAATCTAAAAAACTAATTCGAAATTCCAAAGCATAAAAATGAAAGCTCTCAGAATGTCAAAATTTCAACATATTAGGCTTAAGATGACTATAAACTATACCAAATGTTCTGAATTGATAGCTGTTAAATTCATCCTATAGCTACTTTGTGAGCATGGCTCAAAAGCGTTGCATCTTTTGCAATTGAAAGATTTTTTTAGGCCTACGTTCGACCACGTTTTTTGTTTTGTTCGAACAGTTTGGGTACAAAACCGAAAAAATGCATTAGGCTATAATATGCTATTATACTAACAATAAAAATAACAATAGCCTAATAAGAATGACTATTATCAGACAGAGGTTAAGAGTCATTCCACTTTTATCTAAACGTAAAATATATTTTAATAAATACAAAAATGTGTGAAGCTCATGCAATAAGGAAATTTAAAAATAGGACAATCCAAAAACATAAATTTGATTGAATATTGTTGAAAAACAATTTGGATACTTATAGGCCTACGTTCGACCACGTTTTTTGTTTTGTTCGAACAGTTTGGGTACAAAACAGAAAAAAATGCATTAGGCTATAATATGCTATTATACTAACAATAAAAATAACAATAGCCTAATAAGAATGACTATTATCAGACAGAGGTTAAGAGTCATTCCACTTTTATCTAAACGTAAAATATATTTTAATAAATACAAAAATGTGTGAAGCTCATGCAATAAGGAAATTTAAAAATAGGACAATCCAAAAACATACATTTGATTGAATATTGTTGAAAAACAATTTGGATACTTATAAATAAAATGGTAAAATACATTTTTGTTACACAATATTTAGGCCTACACATTTAAATGAAGACAGGGATATTTTAGGCTACTCTCAAAAGCTTATATTTGGGGCTATATAGCCCATGTATGAGCTGATAAATAAATACATTTAAAAAAACAACAACATAATTTTATGCAATGTTCATGTGTATATTTATCTCACTGTGTATATATCTGTCCTCAGTGGGTATATCGCGCTATCCGACACATTCTTCCCCAGTCGGAGAACGGAAGGACTTCATGTTGAATTTGAACGGAATTACATCTTTCCATCCGTCTGCTGGTGGATATTATCATCACCATCATCATCACCATCACCACCATCAGAGTATGCATCAAGACGTCAAACCTTGCGTGATGTAGGCTAGTCCGCTTGTTGCGGAGCAAGTTGCACAAATATAAGCACTTGGATAGCTGTGAGGTAAAGACAATTAATGAAGGATTAATAATTGTACACTCACAAGATGCTTGGAAATTTATCTTTGAAAACCATGCAGCGAAAAAGCCCCTGCGACATGACTTGACCTCACCGCACCAAGCGCATATGAAACAATTAAACTCATGAAGTCATGGACTTGCCACTTTATGCCTTGTGGTTACATTTCAGTAGAGTTTGAATTAAGCACATATAAGTATATTTCACTTAATCTGTATAGTGCAGTGTGATGTTAGCAATAAAACATTTAAAAGGAAAGTGTGTTTTTGCCTGACCGATAGGCCAAGACTCTCTATCTATCTATCTATCTATCTATCTATCTATCTATCTATCTATCTATCTATCGAGTGAAAAATCCAAATATGTTTTTCCCCATCAGTGTTTTTTTTATGTTGATTACAATCACCTATAGTTTAAAACCCTCGAACATCAGAATAATTGTTGTAAATTCTGCCTTCCAAACTTAAATTATTGCATCATATTTTTGTAATAGCGGTTGTGCAAACAAGCGAACAATACGCCTATACAATAAGTCAGTTTTTTAATAAAGGTATATTTTTAACCCAGGTTTAAATATATTTTTTACACATTCAGGTTGCGGCAAGTTGTTTTTAGTAAGTTGTAATCACATTACTACTTCGGTTAGTATGATTATTATTATTATTATTTTAATTTAAAATTTCAGGCATATATTTTGCAGTTTCATTTATTGTTTCGTGTTTCATAATTTCATAAAAACCATATAATAGCCCAGTCCTTTTAATGGCAGGTTTCATAGTGACAACATGCTCTCGGTCCCATTTATCTTTTAGAAATGTTCAATGACAATTTTGTTGCCGTAACGTTATGCCTTTACAGAAATTTGACATGAAAAATAATACTAATAAATATATTGCCCTGTGAAATAGCCTATTTACTGGAGTAAAATGGTGTTACAACTAGCCCCGGTCTTCCTCGTTTAGCCTAAGATTATTAACATTTCTTTAGGTTAACCTAAAGAAGGAAAAAGATCAAATTAAATAGGCTACAGCAACGTTGTGAACAACGAGGAATTAAATTATTTTCTTCTATACTCTACAATTTAAAATAAAGAAAAAATTTGAAATTAGGCAAATTATTATTCAACATAATTTACATTTAGCCTAATCTACCCAACATTTTTTTAATTAATCGCCAGTTTGGTCAACATGATAAATTAGGCTACAGGTTTTGTTATTTGATTACTTTAGAATGTTTTGGTAACATTGTAATAACTCTTAAATCAATCACTTTTAAATCAGTTTCGTCCCGTCGCAACGCAGTGAACATATTTTAGGCTATAGCCTATTTCTAAGTTATACTTGCAGCAGTGCCCTAGGGAATTTGACCCATTCGAATGAGTAAAGAAAAAAATCTTCATTTTGAAAAGTAAAAGGTCACATCTGTCACTATAAGAAACAAAAAGTTCAGCTCATTTCACAAAATTATTCGTGTGATTGTTAGTGGCGCAGCCAGTAGAAGCTTTTAGAAGGTCATCTACCGCCATCTATTGATGACTTAATGTACCTTCACGCGACGCCTGTGAAATAGACTCGACGATTGCCAATTTTCCTTCTGATTTTATAAACAAAGCGGCATACCTGAGCGAATATTTGGAAAGGATTACAATGAGACATTTATAGCTACTAATAAACACGGATTATACTCACAGCTACATTCATCTACATCAATCGCACCCGTCTTCAAAACGCAGTTATCTTCCAAAAAACACAAAGCCTTATTATTAAAGCATATTGAAGGTACTTATATAGACAAGAAAAATCCAAATATGTTTTTCCCCATCAGTGTTTTTTTTATGTTGATTACAATCACCTATAGTTTAAAACCCTCGAACATCAGAATAATTGTTGTAAATTCTGCCTTCCAAACTTAAATTATTGCATCATATTTTTGTAATAGCGGTTGTGCAAACAAGCGAACAATACGCCTATACAATAAGTCAGTTTTTTAATAAAGGTATATTTTTTACACATTCAGGTTGCGGCAAGTTGTTTTTAGTAAGTTGTAATCACATTACTACTTCGGCTAGTATGATTATTATTAAATCCAAATATGTTTTTCCCCATCAGTGTTTTTTTTATGTTGATTACAATCACCTATAGTTTAAAACCCTCGAACATCAGAATAATTGTTGTAAATTCTGCCTTCCAAACTTAAATTATTGCATCATATTTTTGTAATAGCGGTTGTGCAAACAAGCGAACAATACGCCTATACAATAAGTCAGTTTTTTAATAAAGGTATATTTTTAACCCAGGTTTAAATATATTTTTTACACATTCAGGTTGCGGCAAGTTGTTTTTAGTAAGTTGTAATCACATTACTACTTCGGTTAGTATGATTATTATTATTATTATTTTAATTTAAAATTTCAGGCATATATTTTGCAGTTTCATTTATTGTTTCGTGTTTCATAATTTCATAAAAACCATATAATAGCCCAGTCCTTTTAATGGCAGGTTTCATAGTGACAACATGCTCTCGGTCCCATTTATCTTTTAGAAATGTTCAATGACAATTTTGTTGCCGTAACGTTATGCCTTTACAGAAATTTGACATGAAAAATAATACTAATAAATATATTGCCCTGTGAAATAGCCTATTTACTGGAGTAAAATGGTGTTACAACTAGCCCCGGTCTTCCTCGTTTAGCCTAAGATTATTAACATTTCTTTAGGTTAACCTAAAGAAGGAAAAAGATCAAATTAAATAGGTACACATTCAGGTTGCGGCAAGTTGTTTTTAGTAAGTTGTAATCACATTACTACTTCGGTTAGTATGATTATTATTATTTTAATTTAAAATTTCAGGCATATATTTTGCAGTTTCATTTATTGTTTCGTGTTTCATAATTTCATAAAAACCATATAATAGCCCAGTCCTTTTAATGGCAGGTTTCATAGTGACAACATGCTCTCGGTCCCATTTATCTTTTAGAAATGTTCAATGACAATTTTGTTGCCGTAACGTTATGCCTTTACAGAAATTTGACATGAAAAATAATACTAATAAATATATTGCCCTGTGAAATAGCCTATTTACTGGAGTAAAATGGTGTTACAACTAGCCCCGGTCTTCCTCGTTTAGCCTAAGATTATTAACATTTCTTTAGGTTAACCTAAAGAAGGAAAAAGATCAAATTAAATAGGCTACAGCAACGTTGTGAACAACGAGGAATTAAATTATTTTCTTCTATACTCTACAATTTAAAATAAAGAAAAAATTTGAAATTAGGCAAATTATTATTCAACATAATTTACATTTAGCCTAATCTACCCAACATTTTTTTAATTAATCGCCAGTTTGGTCAACATGATAAATTAGGCTACAGGTTTTGTTATTTGATTACTTTAGAATGTTTTGGTAACATTGTAATAACTCTTAAATCAATCACTTTTAAATCAGTTTCGTCCCGTCGCAACGCATTGAACATATTTTAGGCTATAGCCTATTTCTAAGTTATACTTGCAGCAGTGCCCTAGGGAATTTGACCCATTCGAATGAGTAAAGAAAAAAATCTTCATTTTGAAAAGTAAAAGGTCACATCTGTCACTATAAGAAACAAAAAGTTCAGCTCATTTCACAAAATTATTCGTGTGATTGTTAGTGGCGCAGCCAGTAGAAGCTTTTAGAAGGTCATCTACCGCCATCTATTGATGACTTAATGTACCTTCACGCGACGCCTGTGAAATAGACTCGACGATTGCCAATTTTCCTTCTGATTTTATAAACAAAGCGGCATACCTGAGCGAATATTTGGAAAGGATTACAATGAGACATTTATAGCTACTAATAAACACGGATTATACTCACAGCTACATTCATCTACATCAATCGCACCCGTCTTCAAAACGCAGTTATCTTCCAAAAAACACAAAGCCTTATTATTAAAGCATATTGAAGGTACTTATATAGACAAGTAAAATTACCTGGAAACGACCATATAAACACAGTTCGTAAACTATAGGGCAATAAAAGAAAGAGGTTCTCGTATGACAATGTTGCCAATCACAATATTAAATGTTGGGATAAGTATTATCTGGGGATGACAGCTGCAACAATGCAGAAAAATAAGAAGAATATGAAGATCTTATTTCAGCAAACAAGACATTGCTTTTACAAAATAGAATCATTATTGTATATTAATAATTAGTATATTTAACAAAAAATGGGATGGGATCTAGACTCCAGGTGTCAAACATCAGTGGTCACTCACTGAAAAAGAAATACACTGATGCAACATTCTTTTTGACCTTATCTGAATTTAAAAAAAAAAAAAAAGGCTATAGGATACTGACAGAGACAGCACATCCAGGTGGCACTTTGAACAACCATAATGTCAAATGGAAAGAAAAAAAACCCCGAACCAAATGGTTGCTGAATTCATTTAGCCTTGCAGAGTTTCATGCTCTTTTTCCTACATGTCATGAAAACTGTGCACCAGATGTGTTTCTGTATAGAGTTCACTGCTGATTGACTGTTAAACAAAGACACATTTAAAGTATGTCCTTGTAAATGATGCCTTCAAGTCTTGCACTGTTACAGTACAAGCAAAACTTAAATCTAAGGAATCAATTTTCAGTGTTTTTCTTGGCATACCAGTGCATTTCTAGCTGCAGATTTGCATTTCCAAAATGATAAACAATTAAATAAAAATGTAATATTTTATTAGACATTCTGAGATGCATGTAGAACATTTTATCTAATGCACAAGATAAAATGTTGATGAAAAGAAAACATAATCTGGGATCTCTCTCACTGGAGCAACTAAAACAATTCAATTCAAGAGCAGAATGACTTTCATTAAAGAGATGACTTGCAGCATTGTGAGTCAGGGCATGTGTTTTAGCTCTAGGCTTGCATATTTTGTTTATTGACCTCATACAAGACATAATCTTGTATTGTGGTGGTGAGCAGAAAAAAAGCTAAAACGATGGCAAACCAGCAATATATTTACTACCATACCACAGTCAGTTATTAAAACAGTTAATGCAAGCCAAATATGAGCTTGGACTTAGAAATCGGCGTTGTATTAACGTTATCTATACATTTTCCATTTTAAAATGTCATAATAGTGCTAAAGTAATAGTGAGAGCAAGGAAAAGCCTTTCCACTTTATTCAGTATGTGTGCTTTTTATACTTAGCTTGCCTTCACTAATAAAAGTGGTGCAAGGGTTCTCC